ACCATACTCCAAAAGTTAGTCCCAACAGCCCATATCAACCTTATATTTGTATTCAGCCACAACTCCACTTTCATTTGCAATATCCACATCAACTTGAAAGGACCCTGCTTTTTGTCCCTGGGCATTCTTCTATGAAAAACTAACTTGTAGTAATAATCTTACCCCATTCTCTGTTGGGTGAGTGTAGTAGGGTTAGAAGAACAGAACCAACATTAAAAAGGACTTATTAGATTGATTTAAGTTATCAGAGGCTGGATAGTTCACAATGACATTCTTTATGATGGAGAGCCAGAGAAACTGGATCATTACAAGGTGGGAAGGCTTGAAACAAGAGAGACAGATGGCGTAGCTCCAGTCCACGACTAAAGATCTAGAAGTTCCCTGGAGAGCTGCTGGTGTGATTCCATGTTGAAGGACTGAAGAAGCTGGCATATGAGGTCCACTGGAAATGGAAGCACAAAAGACCCACTAGCTCAAGAGGAGTCAAGCTTCCAGTCTGGGGATCTAGCTCAGTGCTAGAGTACTAGCCTAACATGCCCTGGATTCAAACCCCAGAACTGGGAAAAAAAAAAAAGAATTGTGTTTTCATGCTCTGGGGGGCTTCCTTCTTCTGCTTTTGTTCCTTTCAGGCATCTATTTTATTGGATGGTACTACCCACATTCAGGGCAGGTCTTCCCCTTCAGTTTGCTCTCCCAGGTGCCAATCATTTCTGGAAATGCTGTTACAGATACTCCAGAAGTTTGCTTCATTAATTTCCTAGGCTTCTCTCAATCCAATCAAGTTGACAATTAAGACTAATCATCACAGGTGAACAAGAACTCTTTTCAAACCTAGCTAAACTATAACCTTCAAAGAGCAGCTGTCTTTTCTTTGTTCTCAGGATACATTGCCATATTATTATAACTATCCCTTTAAATTCCTGTTAGAATAATTACTGAGCAGCTGCCTTGTGCCAAATGATAATCTAGATGTTTATATATCTATATTTGTATTAGATAATGCTAACAATATCCTTTTAATGTTATTCAACTTTTATAGGTAAATAAATTAGGCTTCAGAATGTTTAGTAATATGTCAAAGTTCACCTAACACTGACGTGGCTGAGTTGGCAGTAAACATACTGTGAAAAAGTCTGAGTCCTGTGTTCATTTCTCCTGAACCAGTCACACTGAAGCTGTTTATGTATTATTCTCCAGAACTAAAATGTGTTCTCTCAGAAGGATTAGGTGTGTTCAATGAGTGTATTTTATTCTTTGCAGTACCAGCTCTTAGCTCAGTGTTATGCATATGACATACACTCAGTACATATTTGTTGGATGAAAGAATGAACTCATTCTTCGAGCTGAAAGAACAAGGTTTAAATGAATCATTTTTGAGGATTTACTTTGGAAAGACAGCAGACATCCAATGGGCTATTAGTGTGACCATGGCTATGCATGGAATCAGAGGGTGGTTAACTCCTTTTATACCTTGCAATGAAAGATGGCCACAGCTGACCACATGTCACTGGGCATTGTCTCCTAGGCAATCTCCAGCACTGTCTTTAGATTACAACCCTATTTGTAATTGAGATGAAAGGCTGTATGTAATCTGTTTGGAAGTCATTTGTATAAGCTTCCCTCATTTTTCATCTGCACAGAAAATCTCCATCACACAGCCCCATCCAATCACTCCATCTTCTCCTTCTGAAGATAGTATGTGAAATGGAACCAGAGGACAGCTCTGCTCCCACAGGTTTGCCTTTCTGTCCAGTGTGAACAGAACTACCAAAATGTTCTTCAGGGCCTCACTATTTTTTTTTTCTTTCAATGTTTGAAAAAACAAAATCTGTGAAGTTTCATGTCCCCGATAAGAATAATAAACCTCAGGATCTGTGCACATCTGAGACAATGCAAAAGCGTGAGATGACTCAGCATCCGTCAGAATGCAAAACAGCATCTTGGTCTCTGAACTTCCAATGGGCTTGGGTCTCCCTCATGAAACTGCTGCTGATGGAGGCTGCTCTGTGCCCTGTGGGGGACAGACATAGTTGATCAAAGTTCCAGACAGCTGGATTTGGCTCCCTCCATCAGTGTCTGCAAGGTCCAGTGGCCACAGAACAGTTTCAAGGTCATACTGGAGTTCTGCTGATTACTTCACCGCTAGCATATTTTAAAATGTTCTTCTAGATGCAGAGTTACCAGGTGTCTATTCCCAGGGAAGATTTATCAGTCACCTTGCCTGATCCGTGGAAAAAGAAAAGGTTTCACTGCATTTTCCATCAGCTGATGAGTCATATAGCACATCTCATATTTGCTCTGCTCCTGCAGTTGCCTGTGGGCAAATTGGAGCCCATTTTGCAGCACAATTTTGCTGCTGAGCCATTACAGGACACCTAATTAAATTAAGCCATAAGGCAGGAGAAAACTGTGCCATAACCTTCATAATCTGTAAAACCTTTCATCATTTGCCAAGCACCAATTTCCTAAAAACAAGAACCGCAGCACTTCACCAGGAGGCCAAATACTAAAATGGAAATTGCGATTGTTTACAGTGTGTGCAGGGATGCTGAGCCATAGAATCAGGGAAGGAATGAAGCCAAAGCACTGGGCATGTGAAGGAGGACACCGTACACAATGACCTTGAAGTCTAAATTAGCTCCTGCTAATTGGATGGAGAAAACTAGCAATTCCATTTCTGAATTCATAAAATTATTTTCTTCTCAGGGAAAAAGAAACATCTGTTCTACGGGGCTAGCTCAATTCTGAGTAAGTTTGTTCTCCTATGTTTTGATGTACATGAGTAAGAAAAACAGGACACCATCCTGGTTGCAAGGTCACAAAATCCAGCTTTCCAAAAACAAAAATTTCTGCTAGCTTCCTCAGGAAGCTCTCCATAGGCAGGGTAGGACCAACCACAGTTAGCTAGGTGGCTTAGCTTGGGAACGCTGTCTATACCCATCCTTCTGTCAGATACATGATATGTGCCACCAAATGAAGATGTGCTATTTGTCAAGTGCCTACTGTATAGTACTGCACTCTGCTACAGTTAGCATACAATAATTGTCTCATTTAATCCCCACATGACTCTAAGGCCCACAGATGTTAACTGGACCAAATTGTTCAAAGGAAAGAGGGAGGATGTCAATCTAGATCTCACTGATTCTCAAGCTCAAGTTGTTTATACCATATTTTCCTTTTATCATAATGTAGGTAAATTCTAGGGAAAGTTACTCAATGTTTTCCATATGAATACAGAATAGAAGATGGTCATGTGAGTACAGGCAAAAAAAAAATCAGGCATTATTACTCTTTGAATTTTCTTTAAAGGCTTTAAAGTATGACTGGCCATGTGGCCTAATAACTTCTAAAGAGTCTCCACTTTCTCTTTTCTGGTGTTCAACTCACTGGCTGGGTGAGTGTGGGCAAGCACAATTGTTTCACATACTCAAATTGAGAACTCAAAGGGAAGAGTTCCAATCATCTGAGTGGTTTATGTTGAACTTCTTTGACCTTGGTATTATAAGAAAATCAAGTCAATGACCTAGTCTTAAAACATAGATGACCTGATCTCATAGATTTAGCCACTTATTAGCTCCCAGATTAATCATTATCTCGGAATCTGCTTGTCAACCTGGTGCATTTGATAGGGGGAAATTGCAAGTTTTACTGTACCTACTTTTGAAGTGAAATCACCTAGAAAATATTCCTGAACACTTGGTTTTGCAAATCCACATTTTATCTTCAATGACAGATTATATTCTCTATTGGCTTCTAAAATATGTTGATTCCATATGTTGCACATAACCAGTACACTTGAAAATCTCCTTAAAGGCTTATTATGTGCAAAGTGATCTCTGTATTTTTGAAAGGATTGGGAATGTATGTGGTTGTCTTTATAAGACTAACATAGTGAATAATGCCCAATTATAAAGTTTTAGTTTCAGAACTTTGCAAAGAAGTGGAAGGGAAAATTGTGATTAGAGATGAAAGTCAATTTTAGGACAGAGTTGGGTGGAGAAAAAAAACAAGATGAAGTACAAAAATTACATGTGGTACATGTATTCGCTATAAAATCTAGTCTAAATGAAGAAGTTTCCCATCCCTTGAACTCTGACTCTGGTCTCATTTAATTTTTTTTTTATCGTGATTTAGCAATTTTGGTTCTTACTCATACTTTTTCTTTAAATTTTAACAACTTATAGTCAACTCTTTTTTGATCTTGTCTTTAAAAATGGCTGATTGCCTGGATTCTTCATGTATTTGTCAATGTATGTAAATATCCCAAGTCTCTAAATTCCAGTGATGTATTCTCTAGACATCTAGCATCTACCACGTTCTAGATTCTGTGGTAGGAGCAAAAATAGAACCACGTCTCTGCCCTCAAAAAATGCACAGTCCACTTTGGGAGGAATTCTAGGCAATTACATGTTGTAGGATAAATGGAAAATACTGTGTTGAAGAATTCACAGCATGCAGTGGGAGTAAAAGACTGCACTTAGTGCTTAGGAAAGGTAAAAATTTATCTTCAAAGGATTCTCAGAGATGGAGATTTCCTTTACACAGAGAAAGGGTAAAAGAAGTTCAAGAGACTAGATGGAAAAGGTTAATTCCAATAAAATGAATGGTCTGCATAAGAGCAGGAATATATAGCAAACACAGCGTTGTTTCCTAAATTATGTGGGTGATTAATGTATCTGAGATAATTTTAGGATCAAACATTAAATAATATTGAATATATTAGCATAAGTAACTCCCCCACTAATTCCTGCTCAATCCTTGTTAATTTAGAAAATAAATCTTTCTGTCTTTTCCAAATATATTTTCCATCTACCTAATGACTTGCTGATCTCTCTCTCTGTGTCAGAAAAACAGACTTACCCTTTCGGGACTTCCACAGGAAACAGTGTGTGGTTAGAACTTAATAGATCTTCTCATTTTTATTATATTTATTTTTTACAGTTTTGTTTTAATTATGGCAACTGATTGCAGTTTTCCATTCACAGCATTGATACAAAGTGTTATTTGAAATGACTTTATTTTAGTTAGAAATGCAGTCAATTAAAAAACAATATGCAAAAAATAATACAGGTGCTACATGGCAATGATGATATTCTCATGGCTAGGGTTTGATAGCACTGGTTTGAAATAGTTGGGAAACATAAAGTCATGAGATTGGAATGAATGATGAGGATGGGAGACGATATAGAGCTGCGTGGCAGAAGCCAGACTGTGAGGGACTCCTATGGCTGACTCGGACTTCATCAACCTTAGGTGCCATGGAAAGTTACAACTAGGAGACGGAACAATGAAGCTTGCCCATTAAAATCTTCTAGCAGGATGTGAATGTGAAGGGTGGCACACAGAAGCTGCTGAAGCAAATCCAATGGGCCCCATGAGAGATGATAGGAGCATGAACAAATGTGGAAGCAGTGAGGCTATGGAAGAGGGAAGGATTTGTTTGTCACATCAGTGGTATAAACACCTCTGCCACCAATGAGATATGGAGGAAGAAATCTAGAATCTTGCTCAGGTCTGAGTTGGTCAATGGATGGCAGGTAGCTCAACTAATCGGGGGAGGGGAAGTATGCCCATAGTTGCTCCTTTGCTTGAAAATTGACATGATTTTGACCCTGAGTAGAACTCTACATCTCATTCATAGTGTGTTAACACCTTAATAGAAAAACCCAAAGTCTCTCCTTCATATTCCTGGCTAGAAATCTAACTCCTCAGACAAAGAGACAAAACATCCAAAATGTAGGGTGGACCTAAGATCATTTTCATGTTGTGAAAGAGAAATTTTTGGTCAAGCAAATCATGGAAAAAAAAAATGTGATGTTGTGTGATTCTGCCCTAAAACTTTCTCAAGGTTTTACAACTAAATAAATCAAGGAAATCTTCAGAGATTAATAAAATTACGTTCCATCCTCTTTAAGCCCAATCATTTCTAACTAAAGTTTTGTTAAGTATGGAATTGTATAGTTTATGACGTCAGATCTCTTTTAAAATTAACACAAAATATTTGTACATCTTTATGGGGTATACTTTGAAAATTCTGATCATGTATACAAAGAGGAATGAGCTTCAGGGCAATTAGGATTTTGAAATCTTTGAAGGGAAGAACTGGAAGATAGAAGCTCTAAAGAATGGAGTGGGGTCTATGAGGGCAGAATCATCTATAATAGGAAGGATGTTCTTATAGGGAATTGGGGAACTACCTAATTTATCTACCACAAGTGGCTCTCATGTGTAGCATTCTCCCTCTTTCTTATTCTTCCTGATGGTGAGAGCCAAGGATACCAGTGGAAATGATTTTGGTACCTTATTAGCTGAAAAGTGTATACCAATGAGTCCCCTTTCTCTGATGAAGATAGGAAGTTCACTTTAGTTTTCATGATGCAGACCTGGAAAGATTCTAGATAACCTCCCTAGCCTGAAGTTCTCATACTATCCCCAAGAAGGGCTCAAGGTCAGACAATGAAGAGAGTCACCTTACCAGAGGGAAGAAAAGACAGGTGTTAACTCATGATGATAATTAGAAAGATACAAAGTTTACATCTAGAAGATTATTTCTGTAAAAAATAAGAAAACATTTTTGCATTATTTTCAGAGTAAACTAGAGTTGTTTTCAATAAAAATACATTTTTTTTATTTAAAGGAAAGATAGCAGATAGAAAATTATATTAGATTCTTTTGCTATTAACAGTGCCTATACTACAAACCTAAGGATTGCTATCACAAAACTAAATCATCCACCACTCTTGCTGCAGGAAGAAGTTTTAAAGGAATGAATCCAGATAGCTTAAATCTATAAAGTATTGGTTGCATGATAATTGGGACATGAGAAAAGAATCTTGTTTTATGTATGGGTGAAGAATAAGGAGAACTTAAAGAATTATTCCAGAGATGACGAAAGTGGGTGACAAGAATCCCATAAGCTATGTGTTTTCAAATACTTTGGTGTTAATCTGAGGCCTAACTCCCCTAATTTTGTCAATCTGATGACTTTTGCTAGGATTTTAGTTTTTAAGAAAATGAAATATGTCTGAACCTTGTGGGTGAAAACTAAGGCAAATGGGTATGTGCAGAGATTATTATTCCAACTCAACTATTGAGTTGGAAACAATTTTTACTGCTTTAAGATACTTTCAATGAAGTTTGAAGGTAGTATTCTGAAAACCCTAAAAACAGTCATGTTTTAGTAAATTTCTGCAAATATAATAAAACCTTAATGAAAGAAATAGCACAACAAGAAATGGGGTGACTACATTAGATGCAAACTGTGCTTGTCATGCATTATAAAAAAAACCACAAAGAACTTATTTAAGCTACCACTTTAAATGCTATTTGGTGATTATGTTTCTCAACATACTGTTGTAATTAAGAGTGTTCTTTTACTGGCACTAGATTGGAGAGATGATATGTTTATTTGATCGGTTTGTCCAATGCAGTGCATTTCACTTGGAAGTGAGAGGCTTAAATGACAAAGCTTAACAGTTTGAAGGAGAAGGAGTAAATGGAAGGCTGTTGAATATTTACTCTGTGTTAGACATTTTCTAGTTTCTTTACATGTTCTCACAGTTCATCCGCTGTGTAACCACAGGCTTTTAGTCAGAGACCAGGAAATAAATTGAAGGAGAAAATTGCCCAAATTCACAAATTTGCTAAGGGGTAAGGACAGAAATCTGACCAGTAGGTCCCTTCTCTTTTCATTAGAGGATGCAAACTCCATATTGAAATTATGAACCTATCCTCATGGCTATACTTTATTTCCTTAGAAAACTGAGTTAAGGGGGGAGATTCATGAAGTCACTAAAATAAGCAAATTGGGTTCCAGAATATTTCTAAACCGAAGCTTGAAGGGCTAATGTTCTTCCCCAAAGAAACATAGTTTTAGATACAACTTATACTGTTTTTGAAAGAAAGCTGAAAAAGAAAGATCTGTTCATGCTTAGGATAGGGGAGGAGCTTAATGGAACCTTAAATTATTGTCCAAAAGTCTGACACAAAAACTATCTTTGTGATTCACTAGATGTGTAGCTCCAAGAAAGAATTTTTAATCTCTCTGAGCTTAAATTTTCTTCATTTATTTTATCAAGACATAAAGAGAGTAAAAAAGAAATGAAGAATGTTTTTAGCCTTAAAATATCATAAAACATTATTTATGTTTAACAGTTCATTTCTTGTATATGAACTAATCTAGCATAAGCCATTAAAAAGATGTTTAAATCTGTAGAGGTAATTCTTTAGTCTTTTTGGCATGTTGTGTAGTGGGAAGAGATGTCTTCTCCTCTATTAATAAGTCCATTTGAAAGACAAGTGCTAGAAAAAGATGCTAGGTAGAACTATTACTCATTCTCCATCTCCTCTTTAAGAATTACTGGTCTCCTTCCCCTGCTCTGTTTAAAAAGGATAGGGAAGATCATGATGGATTACAAAATCCCTTCTCTATGGTGGATGAGGTATTTAAACTTAATTAAAATGATTTCAAAACCAATATCTAACTGGAAAGGTCCAGCAATTGTGGTACCAGAATGTCAACAGGAGCCGTAATAATATTCAAGGAGGATGTGACTACCCTATGCAACAACAACCTTAAAGATTGGAAATCTTGCAATTTCCTGTAATAGAAAGGTTTTATCTTTCATAAGCTGAAAGCATTTCTATTTCCTACATTAATCTGTTTTTATAAATATTTATTTTTTAGTTGTAGTTGGACACAATACCTTTATTTTATTTATTTATTTTTATGTGGTGCTGAGGATCTCGCATGTGCTAGGCAAGCGTTCTACCATTGAGTCACAATACCAGCCCCTAAATTAATCTTTTAATGTAATATGTTCCATAAATTTAGTTTATTACTTTGGTTTCACAGTAGACAAGCCTGGAGACAGAGAGCAAAGTGATTCTAAATCATCAAACATTTCCACTCTTTTCAGCATCTTAAGTCTCTGGAATTCAGACCTGATATACTTAACTCCAAATTCCTGACATCAAATCCTTTGGCCATTCATTATCAGGACAGAGACCAAAGAAATATAATGGTTTGTTGGAAAGACAGATAACTTTTCAGTTTACAGGGTTGGTCTGCGTTTGACATTCAACAGTCAATTATGAGTGGACAATTGTAATAATTAACCAGTTATTTAATTTGACAAAGATGTGAATCTTCATTCTTTCCATACAACCCTCCTTCACACATACTTCTGCCTCAAATATCATAATAGCTTTGCTGAGCAATTTTAAAATAAATTGCTAACATAGCTGCTTGTAGTTTTCAATTTGGCGGGTTGGGCAAAGCCTCAGAATTAACAGAGGAGAGTGTTGCAATTATTAATTTTTAAATATTCTGTGCATTCTTTCATCTGCTGCATGGTTGATTGGCCAAATGACTGGTGGACAAGTGAATTAATTTGTGACTTCAGAACAGCATAGTTAAAGTCTACAATTTAAATCTCCTAAATATCCAAACTATTTGGAAATAATAACAATGGAGCTATTATTAGATAAGAGGAACTGTGTACATATATGGAGGCAGACATACATGGGAAGTTTCAGGTTATGTTCAACATCTAAAGGAGACCTTGAAATACCCCAGAGTATTGCTGACCTCTACTCTGTATCCTTCTAAAGCTCTCAAATCTGAGAAAATGAGTAAAATTCTTGAAATATATAAAAAGTACCACATAAATATCTATTTGTTAAAATATGGCTTTTGTTTAGATTATTTCAATAAGAAAAGTAATGTATTCTTTTCAATGATGAGTCTTTTTAGAATGGGAGATATATTTCATGCATAGACCTCTCCCTGAGCAGTAAGATGAGCGTCAGTTGGACCTATTTCATTGGTAGAATGAGGGGCATAAACTCATTCCAGCCTTATCGATTTTTAAAAACTGTGAATTGATCAATTGTGGACCTGATGGAAAGTAAATTTACTAAAACTATAGTGAAGGTTAACTTAGCATGACTGTGTTTTAGTCCACTGCACTATTTGAATCATTAAATCAGGATAGCATCTTTGTTTTTTTTTTTTCATTTTATGATTAGATGGAATTGGCATGTTGTCATTTTCACATCAATCTGAAGAAGTTTGTGGCTGTCATGACAGAACATCTTAACAACTGAAATGCAGACAGTCATGCCCTAAAATGTTTCTCTCTGATGTTATTGTATATGGTGGTGGTAGTGGGGTAGATGTGGGAAGAGAAAGAAATGTCATATTGCTCAGTTGTGTGGCCCCTTCAGCAAGGAAGAAAGTGGTAAACAGAGTCAGGAGGCAGATGATTCCAGGACAGGCAGTGCAGTAAAAGCAACAGACAGACAAGATGGTCATGGGGTCTATGGAATACATTCATTCCTAAGTTAGTACAATTGTCGAAGTAAGACAAAAGGTGCTGGTCTAACAGACTGAAACATTAGTCTGCTGAGCAACACGCCCAAGTCTCCACAGAGTAGCATATTTTTATTGCAGTATGACTTTCTTGGGAAATGAACAAAACTTTAAATAAATCACAATTACTTATTGCTTAGTATTTTGGATAATAAATTCTTTAGTTCATCAGTACCTCACGGCCTTCAAATGTGCATTCTTCAAATATTTTCAATTACATATACATTCTTTCTCCTGAACAATAAATTATTCTTTTTTTAAAAAAGGAAAAAGTACATAATTTTAAAGCAAAGAAAAACAAAAAAAACCATATATATTGACATTTATCTTAAACTTATATGAAAACAATTCTCTATGTTAGATGCTTAAATATAAATAATAAAGGACATTATGTTATTTACAATGTTACACAGTAAGTTGAGAGAGTAAAAACTGACATTAACTCATAAAGACAATAAATGATTTAATAAAACATCCAAGTAATGTACATATGTATTTACAAGTGAACGTATAATAGAAATTGTGATATGTGACCATTTCCTTTTTGTCTGCAATTCTCTGCAATGTTTCATGGATCTTTGTGGATAGAAAACTCTGTGGCTTTTGGAATGCAGCCAGTACTAAAAGATAAGACCATGCCTTCCTAATTTTCACCAATGTGAGCCATATACCTTTCAACCTCAGACCAAAAAAAAAAAAAGAAAAGAAAGAAAGAAAAAAGAAGAGAAAAGAAAGAAAGAAATTGCTACTGAGCAAGTTACCCAGGATCAACTCCACCTCCATCAAGATAGTCACACTGAAAAAAGAAAGAGATGGCATATTGCTGTTTGGGACACAGTCACCCACATAGAGTACCATTTGTAGAAAGCAGAAGGCTGTCTACCAGGTATTCTTTGGGAGAAAAAAAGAAGCGGGGAGAGGTGGGGGATCGGGAGAGGGAGGGGGAGTGAGAGAGGAAGAGGGGGAGGAAGGGAGGGGAAAGAAAAGAAGAGAAAACAGTACAGAAAATGAATCTTGAGTGAAAACAAAAAGGAGTTTTGTATATACTATATTCCACTGCATACCCCTCGGTGGGATATGACTCCAGACCCAGGAAAGAAAGTTAATGTCAAACTTCTGGGCCATTTCCACTACTTTAAACCCAAGACAGCTTTCCACATTCTGGGAATATAGGTTTACACTCCTTTGGACTGCCACTGAACTGCCTGAATTTATAAACAGAAATGGTTGAGAGTGATGTGGCACTGAAGTATCAGAAATGTCCCTGTGAACATAAATTGGGTGGTTGTAGCAGGTAGCCCTGAGTGGTCAACTGGCCTTTCTTATTATGGAATACTCTTGTTCCCTGGAGCAAAGGTGGTCTCACCTCACACGAGCCATATCTCTATGAGTAACAAAGTCAGATTGGAAATAAAATTTCATGTATATTTACAGTTTCCAAATTTGTAGAAATTCTCAAACTGAAGAAATGTGTTATTCATTGTTCTCATCAGAAGATTCTATTTGTTCTTGAAATTTCTCACAATGGGACCTCTGAACTCCCTAATGACCAAAAAATTGGAAACAGAATATGTAAGGTTTCTAAATAACAGTAGGAATTTCTTTATTGAAATGTTGAGGAGTGAGTCAAAGCCTTCCAAGGCCATGTTAAAAGAGTTTAGACAACCTCTTGAAACTGGACTTTATCCCCATGCCATGATCTAACTCATTTTAGAAAACTGGGAAATGAGTATGACCTAACAAGGGCTCTCCCATGTAGGTTAAAAAGCAAATGGGCACAATGTGGAGCACAGAGAAAGTGGCATGTGAACAATGGCAGGAAAACTGGAATACCAAATACTAAGACTAACTTCAAGGACCTGCAGACAAGCACCTCTGTGGATTGTAGAAACACATAGGAGTCTAACGACACTGACTCATGCCTAGCCTACATTTTTCTTCTAAGACCTACTTGCATGTCATTTCTTCCCTTTATTTGTAACATACATAAAGAAGAAGATTCAGTACATCTGCAAAGAAGAAGTTGAGTACTCTCATGGACTTTGTGAACCCCCTGTTAAACTATTTCCCATTTTTTCCCATGACTCCTAGGAGGCCACATGGAACCTAAGTAAAGCTCCAGCCCTGATTTGTCAGATACCAGGCAGGGCATACAGTGGGTTCGGCATTTAAAAAATTTTTTTTCTTATTTCCTGAATTAACAGTTATTTCAAATGTTAATACCTATAGGCTTTCATTGGATTTAAGATGATCACGAGAGAACAGGTTTAGAACAACCTGAGTCCTGCTTTTGTGACAGTAAAACAAAAATCAAGAGGGGGGAAAGGGTGGCAGAGAATGTAAATAGAGAGGTCAGTACACAGTGGGGGATCACTTCTTCAAGTAAAGGTGCAATCTTTTCAACACTATTGACACTTCCTGATGAGTCAGCATTTGTGGAAGAGTCTTACTAATCACAAAACATGCACATTGGCCATTCCTGACAAAAAAATATGTTCATGCATAGTTATGATCTAATCAAGGCGGCGTTGAAAAACAAGAGAGACAGAATGGGAGAAAGAAGTGGTCAACCAAATTTAAAATGTCAACCAAGTCACATGGCTGCTCCACCTGGGTCTTCTATACATTAATTTCCTTCCAAACACTATGATGGAAACATTTTTTCCTCTGATGACAAGCCTGCATTTTACAGAGGCACATTTCACTCTAGAAGCATGTCAGACACACTGCTGAGTATGCTGTTTGGGCTGGGCTTTTAGTACCATGACACAGCCATGCAGTAGCTCCCAAATCAGTGAAAAAATACAATTCAGAAATGATTGCACCTTTATTGGTTGTGGTTTGTTGCTCAAATAGATGAGCGCTGGAACATTCCCCCAGAGAGAAAGTAAAACAAAGTCCTCTTCTAAGGTGTTATATTTATCCTGATAGCAAGCCAGAACCCATTCTCTAAGCTATGCCTAAAACTCTTGCTTTTTGTCCAGAAAAATAAATTAAAATAAAGGAAATGGCAGCTCCTTTTAGCAAGAGCAAGCTGTCTTCTGAATAGTAATATAGTTTTTTTTTAAATCACAGTATTACTTTCTTCCTAATATTTAACATTACTTAATGCAGTTTCCTGCTGTATTTAATAGTAGCATGCTGTTGGATCTACTATTATCTCAGAGCCCAATGAAGCAAACCTTTGGCTGACAGAGTAGACGAACTCATTTCATATTCTGAAAGCAAAGAAAACTTCATACAAAAGAGAAGAGTATTTGAATGGATGTGCCATTACAAGACATACTGATTGGGTGTTACTACAAGCAAACAGAGGGACAGTTGCAAGTCTTGAAAATCATACATCCAGTCAACATCATAATGCAATGCACAAGAAGCCAGCAAAAACTGAATATGTGGGAGGGTTTTGCTGAAATACTGTGGAAAAGCAATCACTGTAACTGTACAAAACTTGCTCTCGACATAACATAACATAAAGGCACCATTGATATCTTTCTCATTTTGAAATACTGTAAAAAATTGCTACATATGGCACATAACACATTTTTACATACATATATTTAATTTATAAAAGTTTTTTTTTCCTGTTTTCTATTTGCAGAACTGCTAAAATAAAATAAATTGTTTAATTTAAGGTGGAATACTTTATTATATAAAATAAAGTTTTACAGGTGAATCTATGTGTATATTTAGGTTTTATACAGCAATAGGGTCTTGGTTAGCAATTACACTAGACAGCCTGGCCTGTAACTCTTCCTGCGTCGAGAAGCGGCCTGCTGGGTTAGTCCTATTGTCAGCCAGGCGGAAGGCAGGTGCTGCCTCAAGACTGGCTGCCAGGGGGTTCTGTATGCCCAGGAAAGGTGTATCTTCACCTACTCTTTCATCTTCTGTTTCACTCTCTGAGTTACTGTTCTCAGAGCTTGTGTTGCTGTCCATTTCCAACCTGTTGGCAATGTGGCCATTGGGCTTGGTTCTTTTGGCCCGCCGGCTATTGGCGAGTTTCTTAACAGGCTCTTGAGCTGGCTCATACTCCTGGGTCGTTTCATACTCCTCGTCCTCCACTATCCTCAAGGGGCTTGGGGGGAGGCTGTTACTCTCATGCGCAGGGTTGTGATGGAAGGTGTTGAACTGCTGAGCGTGGTGTTCATACTTCTTCTCCCGCAGCCTGGGTGGAGTCACAAGGAGCAGAGGTCTCTCTTCTTCCACGAAGGGGCTGACTGCCATGGAGGGCATGGACACCGTCATGCTGGATGCGGGTGGTGACATTTCCGAAGGGGGCGATTTGGGGGAGCTTGGCGTGTGGAAATCTACAGGTGACATACGCGCCGGGGTGGTCATGGCTGATACATACCTGTGTGAGCACAGAATACCCCACATAAGTGTGGTGGAATAAGAGGCACAGAGCAGGGAGGGCAAGGGGGCAGAGTTCACGATAGGATCTCATCAGAGAACAATATCATTGGCATACTTCTCAGTTTTTAAACTAGGACATTCAGCACCCTTGGAATAAAAAAAAATTATGCAGCCAAGAGTCTCCTCACAGGAATACATGCAAAGATCGGCTACATTGTCTAGCTCATCAAAGCTTTGGGGATTTTCAGGCTCATCATGAGTTTAAACAGAAGCATGTGAAGCCAAGAAAAGAGAACACAAGGTCCTAGAAATTACTCAGTTTATAAGGACCCAGGCTCAGGGATTTGGAAGGGAAAGAAGTATTACTTAAATACTATACCTTCCTAAATGCCAAGGGGTCTTAGAGAATGAAGCCCAAATGGGGAATGGAAGAAGATCTAAGATGAGTTGCTGATAGCTGGATCTGCATGCATTTGGATCTGTGTGCCTTGTTTCTCCTTAGCTCAGCTATAAGGTTATGTCTTATGAAAAAAAAAGAGCATAGTAACTTAGATTTATTCCTGACAACAGTGTCATACATTTGTGTGCTTTCAACTTTTTTTTTTTCCATGAAATGCTATTAGTTAACATTCAGTTTGCAACTACCCATCCCAGGGTCCATGAAAGAACCTTACATTGGTTTCACAGTTACCACAGTGGAGACTATGTCTGGTCTCCAGACTACATCTCTTGCCAACCGATCCACTGCATCAGTCTTTGGCTTCCTAATAGGAGGACGTGAAAAGCTGCCTGGCCATCTTTTGTGACTGTTCAAGGGATGGCTGGACTATGTTACCTGTCATCCTGCCACATCTGACAGCAGTGTATCTCAGTGCCAGGCCCCCGAGTACATTGTTTTTACCATACCACACTTTCTTCCCCCAGAATAAGAAGACCTGATTTTCAGCACTGAGGGGAATGAGTCACATTTCTCAGCTTTTGATAAAAAAATGTTACCAATGCATAGCACTATAAATGAATCTTTTCTTCACCTTGACAGTCACAGAGTCTAATTCATCATGACCTGTGATGACACAGGACACCACTTTCTGAACTCCAGCTAACAGGAACAGAAAACCTATTAACTTCCCTGCTTTTCCATGATTCACAGTGATATGGATGTGAGATCCAGCTGTGTCTAAAATGGGAAAGTGTCTTGGAGATTGAAATATTTGGGACTCAAGTCTTCATTTATTTGGGGGGTACTGAAATTAAGCTCCTTGAGAAATAATAATCCAAATTCAACCAACATGTACAAGTAATTCATTTTTATCTCCCTGTGGTCTTTAAGTTCAGGTCTATTTTGCAGCCTTCGATGGTATCTGGGATATGCATGTCAGCCTTCGAAGATCAACATCACAGGTAGTGATGAAGAAAGAGCTCATCCCAACCTCCTTTCCATGTTCCAAAGGAGACTGAATTAAGATGGACAGATTTCCTTAACACATAGGTAGAATGACATGAATTTAAGACTAATATTTTAAGCCAGTTTGGGTACTTTTTTTTTTTTTTTTTTTTTTTACAAATGGTTTGCAAGGAGAATTTGAATTGGATAAATTCCATACAGTTCTGAAAGACATTTTTGAGGAAGGGTAGTAAAGAAGTCATTAGTTAGCTCTATAAGAATTACAAGCTAAATAGGTCATCTTTATTGTACTTCCCAGTCCAGAACACAAATAATCTTTCAAAACCATCTCCACCCATGTAACGACCCAATAAATATGGATTTGGCAATATGTAAGCCTTTTTTAAAAACAAATGGTCAGGGATTAGAATGAGATGACCATAATATAAAATAAAACCCTGTGGATTGGAAAACACACAGGTAGCAGCTTATTTGTGGGCTAAAAACCAATTGGGAATTTCTCTCTTCCAGCTTGGGGGAAAATGAATAAAGTGTAGGTATGAATTCACTATTCCTATTGAACATCTCCTTCAGTTGACTTTCTTCCATTCTTTATTTCATTTTTGCTTTTACTCCCCCAACCCTTCTCAATCTCCCCAGAACAAGGATCAAACATTCTGGAATAAAGGGCCATAAAGAAGGCAACAACATCTTCTTTGAAAACCACCCGTGAAGACCACCAGACACAGCATGAAAGAGATTTACTTATTCATTCCTTCTTGGAACTTTCTAAAAGGGATACTATTTAGTGGAACACAAGCAGCTGTTCCCCCATGACTGTCAGCAAAGACAACCTTAACTGAGGCTGGAAAGTAAGACAGGGTTAGCACATGAGAACACGAGACCAGCTTGACCACCGATTTAAGAGTTTGGGTAACTGGCAAATTGGAATTAAAGGGTCCTCATCAGACATTGATGCCATCTCTCTAATGTTATGGCTGAGGAACCTAGACCCAGAATGGGTCTGAGACTATGGCCAGTTCTGGGAACTCCCAAGTCTGCTGCACCTTCCACATCAACTCATTCCAGCTCTTTAAGAGTCTGTGGCCTGCCAGGCACTGGGACGAGGAGAGAAGCTCAGAAGAAATAAGTTCCATCAAAAAGATGACTTCAACTAGGTGCACTCCTAGAAATGGGGACTGCCGCCCTCATTCTGATAAGGCAGCTCTCCTTGGGTGAGACGCAGGTGCCCACGGGGTTCTTTAACTGAGGTTCTCCTGGGCAGTAGCTCTGCCCCTCGCCTTTACCTTTCGCTATGAGGAGAGTCTCGGTAGGAGTCAGGGGTTTCTCTGGCATGCCTGAGGAAGCTGTTACACTCGCGAGGGCCTCCTATGCCATTAAGACGTCCTCTTGGGCCCCCCGTTGGGCTGCTGTGCCTACTGTTTTCTACTGACGACGTCATGATTACAGAATGGCTTTCCGACAGGATGCTTTCTGTGTGCCCGTTGCTCCAGCTAGAAGGGAAACGTGAGAGGAAGTGAGTTTTGCTTGGTTTTATGACATGCAGAAATGGAAATGAAAAGAAGTTATTCTGACAGATATTTCCAATTAATGATACCTTAGGGGCTCTCTACCGCAGTAATTGTGTAAGAAAAGAATTGATGCAAAGAAACTTGCTATAGAGAGAGATCTGTGAACCAGTTTATTCATTTGTTCACTCATTCAATAAATATCAATCAAATGCCACTATGTGTTAAATGTTCTTAGTCCTGGTGTTCTTGAATCCTTTAGGTCAGGGAAATGTCTTGTTGTACCAGTTCCATTTGGTACCAGTCTTCATGTACCTTTTCCAAGGCAATCCAAGTATTATATAAAATCCACTTTCTAGGTTTTATATAGAATCCTAGAATTTTCTCTGTGTAGCAATTCAGTGAGTAGCAGCACGTGAGAGATGACAATCTCTAGAATGGGGAAGAACAACCCTATAAAGTAGATGTTATTATCCACCACCATTTTTGTTGGTGGTGGTATCAGGGATTGAACTCAGAGGCACTCAACCACTGAGCTACATCCCCAGCCATTTTCTGTATTTTATTGAGAGACAGGGTCTCACTGAGTTGCTTAGGGCCTCACTTAATTGCTGAGGTTGGCTTTGAATTCGTAATCCTCCTGCCTCAGCTTCCAGGGGCACTGGGATTACACGCGTGTGCCCCCATGCCTGGCTACCATCATTTTTTTCTTTTTTTTGATAATGGAAAACCTGATACTCAGATTTACACAGCTATTAAGAGTAGAGTCAACCAATGTCCAAAGTCTGTTTATGTCCAAGGTCTGTATATTGTACTGCCTCCCAAGTGTCTCCTTTCTTAATGCAATGATAGTAAAAGCTCATGTACAAAAATTCATTCTTAGAGAACTCCTGTGGAATTTTTATATTTTCATACCTGTGGCTAGGAGTCTGGGTGACAGTTGTGGAGTGATGAGCCGTCGAGGTATAATGACTAGTGGAAAAAGACGTCTCAGCTTCTCTCTCAACAATATGCTCGCTAGATATGACGTTTTTAGATACGTATTGCTGGGTAGACACAGAGACACAACTTGAAGATGCATGTAAATCAAAATACTAAAATTGTTACACACACAAATCTGTTTTTGTACACAAGCTTCATAATAACTTTCATTTCTCCAGTGCTGTATAGCAAGTCCTCTCGGCTACTTTGGATTTTAGATTGGATGAAAAAATGGAATTAATTACTCTCTGGATGCACACACAATATAGGTCCTAAAATCACGACTAACTTCATTTTCTCAGAAAAAGACCTTTCTTCTTTCTCATTTCCAGTTAATTACATGACTAGAATTCAAAACAAATTCTGATACTCATTTCTGTCAGGATTGTTGCAAGTCAAAGAAGATTAGCAGATATTTTTGATTAAAAGAAAAGCATACCTTATCTTACTTCAAATTTCAAGTCACTTGAAAAAAAATTAATTTCAATATTAAAATTTTTAACTCGTCAATGGTAACATTAACAAGGGTATTACAAAATTTGAAGGGCTTACAATAGTCGTCAAGGTGACACATCTTATGAATACCTAGTGTACAGAGGGCCTTACATTTAGTGCAACTACATTTTATTTCATTTTCATCAGCAAACCACAGTAGCTATTGCTGCCCTCTATCAGTGAGAAGATGTATTTTAAAAGTTGTTTTGAAGTTGTATTTTAAGTGCTATTAGTATTTCTAACAAATTGAATTAAATAACAGGAAAAGAAATGGAATGGACTACTCGTTGATAAACAGGGCACTTTATATTCTGATGAGCTATGAAGACTAAAGAACCTGATCTCTTCGTGATAGCCCATACATGTACAACTTGGATTATGCATGAAACTCCAGCTGGTTCTGTTCATGGAAAGACTATTCCATAGGGATCTTCCTGGGAATTATAGCTGGTTAGGTATATATATAAGGAAAAGACACAGAGTGACTTATCTCTGGTCCATGCACATTCTGCTCTTGCTTCTTGAGGGGTGACATAAGCTTAATGAATCTAAGTGCCACTAGGCTATTTCATGTAAGTTATTTTATCTACTACTCACAAGAAGTCTTTGAAACACTTATTATTTTTAGGCTTGTTTTCATAATAAATAAGATTGGGAAAAGGTTACAGTCTAAGGTCACACCATTTAGAGCCATAATAGAATCCAGGCACTCATAGCAATAAGACTCTGATATATTATAACATATATAATAACGGATTATAGTGATGTTGGTAGAGAATGCACTTATTAGCTCTGCAGAACACTTTGATGAACAAGAAAGTTTATTAACCTGTCAGCACCTTGCCCCAATAATGTTTATAGATCTCTGCTATAAGATGTGGGGTAATCTAGAAACCACTATCTCCAGACATGGGTCTATAACATTTCTGCTCTACTAAGTATACACCTTTTTTTTCCAAGAGGATAGAAAAATGATTACTATGATACAATCTTTGGGAATTGATCTACTAAAAAGCCATATAACAGAGGGAAATAAAAAAAAATGAAACAAGAAGTATTTTTCTGGAATATAAAGAGTAATACTTCAAAAGCCAGGAGATCTATTCTTGTCTATAAAAACAGAGAGGTTTGGAAGATGATGATATATAGTCTCCAGAATTGAAAATACCATCATCTAGTTAAATTTAAAGGCCAAGTTCTTGGTAAAGTATAAACAAAATATTTGAATGCTTAAGGAGGCATTTCATCTGGAGTGCTTGGTATCACATAGAACGAGCCAGGGAGTAGCAAGCATTACATTCTCCCAATTTTTCTACTGCGAAGAAGCATGTTTGATAAGTCACTTGACCTTTCCATGCCCTGATTTCTTCCTTTGGAAATCAGAATCAGTAAATCATCAATTACTGTAAAGTGCCCCTACTAAATATCACTCCAAATCCTTGGCTCAGTTATCTGTACTAATCAGTTATAGACTGGAAGAGTCTTCATTTCCAAATTATTAAAAAAAAATACAAATTCCTTCTGATTCTGGTTTTATTAATTTTATTACATTGTTTTTGTTTTCTTCCTCCTGTTCCAGCCTCTCTGCAGAACAAACCCAACATTATGATTCCAACTCCTTAATGAACACTTTATAAGAGGAAATGTGCCGGTTTTACAGAAACCAAATCCACTTTAAAAAAAAATCTTCCCATTATTTTCTCCTGGTGAAATCTTGGTTTCCTGGAAGCCATGGTGATTAATGGCAGCAGCTAAGAGCCTAAGAGCTTTAGAAAATAAACTTCAAGGTGCCAGTACAAAAGGGACATGGTAGTTTGTCTCACTGGCCAGTCAACATACATTCACCAGCTGCACGTTCTCCGGGGGTGGATTAGGATGGTGAGGCCCATTGGCTATGTTCACCATGTTGTTCCTTTCAGAACGAAGACTCTGTCGAAGCCGGTCATGAAGCTTTTTCCGCTGTTTCCTAGATGTAAAAAAGGAAGCATAATTTTTTTTCTATTATTTATATTTCTTAGTATAGCCAAATCTTTATTCTACCAGCACCTATGAATAATTCAAGGCAGTGGCTTGGTGGTGAGGAGGAGGACAGGACTATATGCCACTCCATCTCAGAATAAGTAGACTTATACATCCTCAGCAATTGGGCTTGAAAAGCTGTGTGGGATTCTTACAGAAACTTAACTGTTTCACTGAAGAAAAAGAAAGAAGGAGGAGAAAACAAATATGTTGGTATTTGGCTAAAATCCCAACTTTCTTAATCAACCCATCTTCCCCCATATCTTACAGATGGTCATTGGTCTTAGATAACAATTTGTGCTGTAGAACTGATGACTGATTCTATTTGTAGTTTTTTCCCCTGTGGATTCTTTCAGAAAATATACTTAGTTTTGAATCTGTACATTATACACAGTGTGTGTATGTGTGTGGGCCCATATAGTGAGATTGGACATATTTTTCCATTAGGTTTTGGCACAATTATAATGTGGTCTTACCCCTGTAATGCTTTTTGTGTAAAGGTAGTGAATATTAAGACTGAATCTAATAAGTCGTATGAGGTCAATTCCATGAAGGCTTATCTCTCTCACCTACTCAATTCTGGCAGCATGCTAAATCATGGGGTATTAAGAAAATACAATCCATGCCCTTAATTTTGTGGTACAAAAGCATATTATTTTTTTCAATGCAATATTCAGATCATGAAAATATCTCCGTGACTAGTTTTGGCAAGAGCATATCATGTTATGAGGAAATGTTTTGTTTTTAATTCCTGTTAATTTAACATTATTTCAGACTTAAAGACAGAAAAATGAAGGGTAAACAATAAATACATTTGTCAAGATGGACCAAGTTTTTAGGGTCAACCAGTGGCCACAAATCTATTTTAAAGCTTTCCCTGTAGCTCTTTCTAAGGAAACTTTGCTTATTTTACTCTCATGAGATTCCTTTCGTATACCTCACTCATCCCTTGACAGCATTTACACTGGCGACCCAAGTAAGTAGAACTGAAACATTTTTCACTCTTTTAGAAAACTACATTTAAAATACCACTGAGTGTTTCTTTTATCTCCCAAGTTTGTATAGACTGGATTTGTCCTCAGCAACGATGTGCCAAGTGCATCTCTGGCACCTATATTTCCCTTTTAGTCCATGATCCCTGTGTGCACATATTTGCATGCACAACTACATACATGCATTCTTGTGCTTCTGTACGAGCTTGTCCTTCCAAATGTTCATCCATTCATATGGCCATGGTCACATGTTAGAAATTTCCTAAGCGCTTTCACAGAAAATGCAAAGCTTTCCAATGTGTGTGATTAGGAAAGGTCCTCAAAGTGCATTATTAAAGGGAAAAATAAGGGGGAAAGTGCTTCATCCCTCTTTCCCCCAGGATTAGGATGTGAAGCATGGTGTCTACAAAGCCCTGGCCACCTAAGCCATCTGTGCACTAAGGAGGGAGAAAGGTGTGGAGGATGAAGTTTACTTGGTTTTGCAGTAGGCCACCACACACATGATGCCGACCACCAGCAGGGCGATGCAGATGCCGCTTATGGTCAGCACTCTCTTCTGGTAGAGCTCCTCCGCTTCTGGAAAGGGGTGAGAGCAGATGTCATTAAGGTCACTTATAATTGCCAGGATTTACTACAACTGAACAGCTGGCATGCTGCATGACATTGTCCGTGTTCACAAGAAAATAAATACAATTCCTTGCATTACAGACATAATCTAAGAAACAACATGCTCTGTGCTACACTTTGAGCATCAATAACAAAGCCAGCTGAGTCCATTGACAATAAAATAATATACTCTAAAAATTATACCAGTAACAAGCTATATATATACATATACATATATATATACATATATCTTTATAATATAAAACTGGAAAATTATAAACGTTAATTATAACATAGCAATTTGGTTAAAACATGGTAGATATTTTAAAATCTTTTGCAAAAATTAAAAAAAAAAAACTCTTGCAAAGACAACAGGAATAAACACCATTAAAAGGAGCTAAGATTGGCAGCTCTGATACTCTCCTTTTCACCTTCCTCCCTTCTCCACCCTCACCTCCAACCCAGCTATTTATGTCATCATTCATATCCAGTGGTCTTTACAAAGAGTCATTTCTAATTTAAAAAATTAAATTAAAAGACATTTGCAAACATGAACTTGGCTTGTAGTTAGCAAGTACATTAATGTAAGATTGCTTTGATTTAATAGTAAAATGTAAAAATATCGTTAGCATAATATGGAGTAGCACTATATCCAAGTATTAGTCACTGTATCCAAGAAAATCTAATATGATGGGTAAGGTAGTCCTGGAGCAAAATTAAGCTTTGTTCTTTGGAGGACAATGCCTATCACTTCATAAGTTGAAATTAGAGAACTGGTTTATTTGTCCAAAGAAACCAGTCACTGGCACAAATGATGTATCATTTGGAATAGAGTGTTTCTTCCTACATTGGCCAACTTGGCAAATTAGTTAATAGATATTCTACTAAGGAAGTATGATGCTTAGAACTTTGAACTAACGGTACTACTTTACTCTATGTGCAATTATTCTCTAATTCATGGAAATTTTTCTATTTGCAAATTAGTTTCTTTGGGGGATAACTTGATTATACTAAGGTAGGTCAGGTTCTCTAACAAGATTTGCTGACTTAATGGGGACCTTGGTCCCTTAGGAGCTGAGCTTTCAACAGTCTAATTACATTTATTGGAAGATCTTCACAAGTTCACTCAGAAAGAGAACTCAGCCAGTACATAGTAAGTAACTCTTTACTTGCCATGATAGTTATTAAGCTGGTCAAGAACTGGAGAATATTGTACAGATGACACTGGCTTATCAGGACATCAGCAAGGGACCCTTAAAGAATATTTCCATCGTACATTCTCAGTCTCAGCAACAATAACTTTTAGTCTTTGGAGAGAGGGCAACTCACAGGAAGTTTTCTTGAGATGAAAAAGTGAATTTTAATTTCTAGGACACAGTGGACCTTTATCATTAAACAAAACATTTCCTACAAGCCGAGCCCATGATAATCAAATTCCAGTTAACAGGTCAAGAACATTGTCAAATCAAATTAATAGAGCACTGATTATTAACAGGAGGAGAAGGAGAAGAGAAGTCAGTGGGTAAAAGAGTAGAATGCTGCATAGATTATACAAAAACAAACTGAAGGGGTTGGAAGTAGAAAGGAAAAACAAACCAAGAGGACAGACAGGCTGACAGAATGACAGAGAGAGCGAGGAAGTCAAGGACGGGGGGAAAACAAGGTTAAAAGTTAGGGAGCCTTCTGAAGTCCCTGGCACAGCATGCCTGATACTAAGGGAGGAACAATAAATAAATAAAAGAAAACCAGAAGGAGGAGATGCTTGGGTGGAAGAAAAGGTGGATGCAAAGTTGGAAGGGTTATCCCATACAGCATAACTCCTACCCTAGGCTAGCAGTTGTGTGCAAGCCACAATTAGAAAGCAAAGCAGCTGGTGCGTTGCGATGCAACACTGCAACGGGAGACATAGAGTTGGTGTCATGGATTTTTGAGCCGCAAAAGTCAAACGAGGACATGGAATGTGAGTGCTTATATGTTAATTGCTTGTGTCTGTTGCCTCCTCTCCCTTCATAGCCACAGGACAGGTAATTAATTTTTATGAGTTTTTAACTGTGAGATGAGACTGCTATAACCTCCCTTCCTGACCTTGGCATCCCAATCAGTTTTTAGCATATATATGTAAGAAGCAGAGGTATCACCCCACTGTTCCTTCTCCATGGGACCCAGGATGCAGAACAGGGATCCTTCATCTGTGATGAATTGGTTAAGGAATATGAATGTCACTATTGCCACCGGGAAGGGTGGAGCCCTGAGTTTTCCTCTTTGGTTTACTCTTTTTTTTTTAAAAAAAAATATTTTAAAATGGTAAGGCTGGGGTGAGGATGCAGCTTAGTGGTAGAATTTGCCAAGCATGGGTTCCATATCCAGCTCCACCAACAAAACAAAACAAAAGGCAAGACCTTAGTTGCACCTGATCACTAGTAACCTGACATTCTACCTTGAGAAAAAGCTGAGAAACTGCTTCTACAAACCTCAAAAAATGGAGACATACATGAGGGCTGGACAGGGGAAAAATGATATTGTGCACTCTCAGGTGTTCCTTTTGATAAACTTTCATTGGGTTGTTGCTATGAAATAGATTGAGTTGGATTTGTGAACAATGGCACAGAATGACTAGCCCCTTCTTCCTGTGGTACATAGGAAGATGGTTTCCAGTTAAATGATTATTTCATGGGAACAAAAAGCTCAATAAAGGACAAAGGATAATATAAGAGTACTAAAGTGAACTAATCAAAGGCAAAGCCTACAGAATACAGACCTGGGATTAAAACTCCATATTCACATCAGCATCTAACTAAATGCACTACAAACATTTCTATATGACTTTTTTTAAAATGATTTTGCCAGATCATGTAATCTCTACAATAGTAATATGCTGAGGGAAAAACACTTAGAAAACCACAGCAGAAGGACTAGGTTTCTTTATCCCCCTTTGCTTCATAATTTATTCTTTAGGTGGCAGGGCCCAGAGAGCAAGAGCAAATCAGAACTCTGCTGAAAAATAAGAATCTGTCAGTCCAATTGGGGGATCAGTCTTCCTGTATGGAAATTCTCCTGGGTTGCAATGCTGGATGCATTGTATGAATCAGAGCAAGCCCATTTTTCAGTCTGATGTGCCCAGGCCAAGGACAGAGCCCTTGTCCTTCTCAGTTTGAATTGATCTTTAAGATCAAATTTTCTTGGAGGATGCCATGGCCTTGACTAGTATGCTCTGAGGGCTTTGGAGAGTGAGTCTTACAGGGATGTAGATGCCAGTGCATAGTCTTCACTGACCCTTGAAAGATCTTACTGAAGTAACTGGACATCTCAACTATTTGACTTCGTTATTTTGAAATACAAATATTGAATTCTATAGTCAGAGCCAAAATTTATAAAGGAGGAGCTATCCTATGAGTGACAAGCGGTAGGGGTGTGGCAGGATCTTTTTCCTCCCTGCAGAAACCAGAACACTTTTTATCAAAAGGGAGGAATCCCCAACAGTGATACTGCAGCTCCTTCTTGGGCTCCCTAGTCTTGGGAGACACTTCTTGATGCCCAAAGGCTTATTCATATAAATATGGGCTTTCAGCAAAGTCATAGTTTTCTTCTGGATTTTTTTTGGGGGGGCTGGGGGTGTGGGAAGTTCATGGAGTTGCTATCCCTGTAACTGCTAGAGCTTGCAACTGCCTCATTTGCCACAAGAAAGTACATTAGGGGTGGACAGTTGTTGACATCCAAAAAGGCTGTTGGGCACCCCTGCTGCATGATGTCACTGAAACCCGCTTTATAGGAATTGGATACTGTCCTGTTGAGCCCAGACCCTGTTTCAGGGCTGTATGCAGCATCCCAGTGAGACAGCCTGGCCTGGCACTGTGAAGACCAGGCAAAGGAGCACAGCTTCCTGTTCCTTGCAGGACTGGCTTGTTCGCCCCACTATTTAGTCTGAAGGCCTTCGGGAGTATGCCCAAGTCTCATCTGCTCATAAGAGAGATTTTTTATGTTCACAGTGTGAAATTTTCTATTTGATTACTTGTCTGGATCATCTTAGTGACTCAAATTTAATTCCATTAGCACTGGAATTTCCACCTAAAACAGCACAAGGCTTCTTTCTTTCTGTTTTCTATTTCCTTGCTCATTAGATAATGAAGTTGACTAGAGTCAAACTTGAATGTCTCCAGAAAACTTGAGTGATTCAAGTCTGTGCACGGTAATGGTAATACTGTGTTGCACTGTAAGGGCTTTTTCTTACTATATTAAATAGATGGTTTTATATTGTATCTTAAGTGCCCACCAGTTAAGAGGTACTGTGTTTTTTAAGCAGGTACCATTTAAAGCTTCCTTTGTTCTCATGCCCCTAGTTTGACTTCTTCTCTACCCTTGTGCACCACTCTAACTTACCCCAGTTTTTTTTTTTTTTTAAAAAAAAGGATAGCCAAATCCAATCAGTGGGTCGGTCACACAACGTGGGATATACATGAATGTAGCAGCAGGGGCAGGTGGTTTTAAACTATAACTGAAGAAGTAGCTTGAGACTTTAAAAACTGCTGCATTCAGTAACATTTCAATAAACTAATCATAGATTGACAGCAGAGAAATCATTGTTATAGCTGTATGATCCCTTCTAAAGAAAAAGGAAATTAGTTAGGAACTGAAAAGTAAGAGTAGGAAGGGAAAAAGATTTCAGCTCATAGGCTCTAAAATTCTGCAGGCTAAAAGGAATGATGATTGGTCCATACCCATAAATTCAATCCCAAGATGCTCTGCCAATGCAGAAAGTTGACAAAAAAAGAAAGAAAGGGAAAAAGTTTCAGAAAGAGCAATACACTGCACTCCAAAACACATTACACATGACTATTACAGCTCTCTGTGCGTGCACATTGAACAGGACAAATGGGTGGTTAACAAAGCAGTGCTCAGGTATGCCACTCAGTCCACACAGGAACTTCTGTATTTTAGATAATGTGCAAATACCAGCACATTCTTTTATTAACCCTTAAAAGACTTTACTGAGGGAGAATTTTCATAGCTGAACTATCCTCTCTACATTCCTCATTGCTTGAAAATAGCAATGTTATTTTATTTTTTATCATCAGAAAAAGCACTTGGTATTATTTCATTCTCATTTTAATAATGTCCCAAGGAAGTAAATTATTATTTTTATTTTTATATTTACTGAAAGACACATAATGGCAGAGCCAGGAGTAGAAGCCAAAGGAGAGTAATTTGGTCTGAAACTTTTATCACATTGGATTTATGTTTTTCATTGTTTGTGTGTAGTTACATCTCAGTATTTATTATCTTTTATTTTTATTTCTAATCTGTTTCTCCTTCCACTTCCTTCAGTACTTACATGTTTCATTCAAATAAAACAACAAATGCTTCTACCTAAAAAAATCTGAGATAGGCACGTGAGAAACTGGAGATTGCTTGCATTTTTTCTCATAATTTCTGTGAGGCATTGGACAACTCTATGTGCCACTTTTTCAGATTGCAAAAATGTTTTTAAAAATTTATCTTTTATAGCATGTGTGGAAGGGAGACATAGTTTCCAGGATCCTTTGATTTTAATTTCATACTCTTTCATGTAAAAATTAGAGTCAATTAGATCATGTCTCCACAGTGCTGGGCTCTGGTGGTCACAGGTACCAAGAGGATCTGCAGGGAAAGAGACTCAAAAGTGTGAGCCCACAAACAGCAGTCCTGTCAAGCTCTGGACACTCTTGGATTTCAGAAAAGCAGAACCTGCACAGGCTCAAATAAGGAAATGGGAAAAAAGAGGCAAAGAAAGAAAAAAAAAAGGAAAAAAAAACCAACAACTCCAGGAAGGGCACTTTTCATTCTTATAACAAAAATTGATAGTCCAGTTTCATTGGGTGGAAGTTTGAGGATTTCTCTTACTTATGTCTGCATGGCATAAAATAAGGTCTACATTTTCTTCCCTTGATCACAGATTTGAGAGATGCCAGAATGAGACCTTAGCAAAATGAGCCATCTCTTAAGTTTGAAAAAAGGTCTATGGAGGGGTGTTATTCAGTTTAGGCATGGAGAAAGCTCCTCCTGCAGAGATGGGAAGAGTGGAATGTATGAGTTGGAGTCATCCTGGTTTCAAGTCCTGCCTCTGCCACTTAATGATTGAATGACTTTGGAAATGTAAAATTCTCATTGACCTAATTCATGTGATACCCTTTCCTCACTGGGCAACCCCGTGGAATAAAGGAGATAGGAAAACATGTTGCCCAGCAGAAGGAGTTGTTGACATTTTGGGAAACAGACACATCTAGAGCTATACCTTGGGGCACTTAAGGCACTCAGGTTGACTTTTCACAACTTTTGTGCCCTGGAAAATTCTGTAAGCCCTTGGGCTAGATCTAAAAAAATAAATTTTAAAACTTGCAGCACCTTAAGGAAATAAAACTTCCCAAATTAAAAATACATATGTACTATGTATTTGATAATGGGAGGCACTATATATATTATTTTCTTCTGCCTTGGGTCCTATGTACTCAGACAATAATCTGAATTTTTCACTAATTAAAAGCTAGGGAGTATAGAGTTAATTTGGTTACATGAGATATTCATAGTAGAATAAATTATTCAAATCCAAACAAATTTCTTTTGCCTCTGAACAATATTCAGTTTTCCAAATTGACATTTTTTCCCCCATTTGCTTTCTTCATGTAAACTTTGGCACATTGATGTGAAAAAAATTCATTTCTCAAGGAAATCAATAATAAATTTTCAAGAATGTGACCCAATTTCCCTTTTATGTGCCCCTCCATCTCTTGCTTTTCACTTCTACCAGTCAGTAATATTTTAAGGGTTAAAACCAAGATATATCTAGAGTAACTCATTCCAAAGATTCATTTTTCCATGCCTACGTGAACACTGCTAATGATCTATATTAGTTGCATAGAAAGCTTGGTTAAGTTTTCAATAAAATTAGTAGCATGCCCATGCATACATATTGCTGCATTTACAGTTTTATAGGTAAGTCTGTGAGCCTAACTATAATTTCATTTCAAGGGAAGTCATTCATATCAGGCAGCTCCAATTTCAAATAATTCAATGGGAAATTGGTATTTAAAACTGGAATCTTCTGGCCATAAGCCTTAACAAGGAAACAAGCATAGAAAACATGCATTGGTCATTCTAGACCCGGAGCAAAAACTGCTCTAATTTATTTCTACTGTTGGTGGTTACATTTCTTTCATCATAATTCAAAAAAGCAGAATATGCAAACACTTTTCATTTTGTGAAGAGGTTATTTCTATCTGTTCTATTTAATCTAATGTTGGCTTACTCTCATTATGTATCACATGCTTCCTATTGAACTGCTGCCTAGTCACTACATTTTTCAAATTAAATTAATAATTCAAAAACACAAAGGTTACTGTAAACAATTTAGTTTCCTTTTCTACATGTGATTTCCTGCTGTGCCCTCGGTGATATAAAAAATTAATTTAAATCTAAGAGTCTTCAGAAACTATTAAGTATTGACTCACTAATCCTTTGCCTTAGGATTTTATAATTACTTTTAGAAAACTGATTAACCTGGAGGTTAATTTAAATTTTCAACTGCATTAGTGGAAAGAACAATAAAACAACTTTCTTTCATCAAAGTTATATATCCATTGCAATTATGGTTTCTGTTAAAATTTTGAGACATTCCAGTATTTGTTCTGTAACATCTTGGAACTGTTTATGCAAATAATGTCGAAGACTGTGTAGTTCTGATTTCTTGTACCTTTAAAACTTCTAAAGGAGTTCTCTTAATGCAAATTTCAAACTGGAGCAATTTAGTGTCTGACTTTTAATTTTAGACTTACCTTTGTAAATGTAGATACTTTTATTTTCACATATGCCAATCCATATTGTCATTGAGCCCTTTGAAATGTAATAGCAGACTTTCTCCTTATTCCCAGGATCCACATGCACATGAAAACACACATACACACACACACACACACACACACACACACACACACACAGTAAAATCTCACACTCAGTTGGAACTTATGACAATTTTGTCATAGATGGAGTGTCTTTGTTCTACTGTTATCAGGATACCATTTCATAAATACATTATTACAATAGGTTTTGAAAGTATTTAGAAATCCGTGAAAAAATTAATACAATAATAACGTATGATTCACAGCTACTTTTAAGGATATGGGATAAATTTAATCATTTTGAGAATGTGTCTAAATGTTCTAAAATTGCATTCTTTTAAAATATCCTGTAGTTTGAGCTATTCTCATAACTAGTTCTTATTATTTGTTAGCTTCTATAGGACATACTTGCTCTTTACTATCGTTATCTTCTGAAGTTGTGAATGCTTTTTCCTTTTTTCTTCATGAAGTCACATATTGATTATGAATTACATGTACACACACACACACACACACACACCATGCCACATACTGGTGAACACAATCATATTACTTGGGATTGTGTCGAGATAGGTCAAATTTAAAACTGACTAAACTTGACAATATTTCCTTAGGAAGGGCTATAAATACGTTATATTTTGAGAAAAATCACTGTCATATAAAATATACATTTGTTCCTTTCTTTCATTTTAAATACATTTTTATAAATTAAAAAATGGCCCATGAGATATACTAGCCAGAATTACTTTATCAAATCCTAATGATGTGTAAATTATATGTTTATAAACATTCAAAATATTGTAATTCCTTTGAATGCTATTTTCAACTACAAATGTGGTTGGGTAGGTTTTAAATATTTCTCTTTGAGGCTAGTGACTACCTTTTACTTCAAATCTGTGTAATGCCCTCCAGACATTATGTTCACAAGCAAACAAAAAGTGACCTTGCTGGAAACACATTCTAGCCTTTTCTTAGCCTTCATTACTATTTGAACATGAAATTCTTAGAGCAGCAAAAATTTATTTTGCTGTCTTCTATGTAGGAGTTTGCAGAGAGAAAAAATGAGAATTTCAGGCATAGAGAATTAGAGAATGAACTCTGTGCAAGACAATCTGGAAAGCAATGTCTGATTGGAAGCTCTTGCTTTTCCAGACATGAGGCATCAATAATGCAGTCATTACATGTTTTGTTCATAAATGTGCTTCCTATCAATCTTTGTTAAATCAGGTTAAATATAAATGCTAATTTCCTGGATGTCTTCCAAAAATGTCATTGAGAGCTTACTAAAGAATTTATTTAAGGAGTCACACTTTGGAGTTCACAAATAGAGAGTGGCTATTTTAAAATTGTGTCTTGTGAAAGTGAAAATGGCCCCAAAATGAATGAAAACATTTTGTTTGGTTATCTCTATCAGATCTAACTGCATTATTGTTCTGGGAAATATCTTCATGTTTAATAGTTTTCTTTATATAGTGATCCAACATTGTCTTCAATGTACAATGAAACACCAAAATTTTAAGAAATAACTTAAATATTCTGAATTGTCATTAATTTCTAAAATTTGATTTTATTGTATTTGTATAATCATATGGCTTTGCTAAATCTATGCTATTTAAATACAAACACACAGATTTCTAAAAAAAATGGGTCAGATATTCAATAAATTTGTTTTTTTTTCCATTATATTTTTAGCTTCCATCCTATCTACCTTAAAAAAAATCATCCAGAGCTAAGGAGAGAAAATTCCTGCCCAACATACTTAAATATTTGTGAATACAACAAAGACTATGTTTGAAAAATGAGCAATGCCAGTTTGCCATTCACTTAATAATAGATAGCCTATGGCAACCTCTGATATGCAGCCTATGTAAATATGTTAAGTATTATTTCACTAAATAAATGATAATTATGGGTGTAATCTCCCCATAAGGGATTCTAAAATTCATTCTGATAACTTTTATAACTGTTAAAAAATCTTTATTCATCGTGTGCATCAAAAACAAGGACAAATTTGATTATTTTAAGGTCCCCAAGTGACCAGCTTGTTTCTTATGTTATATGAATTTAAACTGCAATAAACTATGACATATTTTTCAGGGTGAGCAATTTACAGGAAGTGGCAAAACAGGGGTTACCAATTCCAGCCCACTGCCTGCTTCTGTAAATAAAGTTTTAATGGAACACAGCCATGCATGTAAGTCCATGCATTATTTGTGGCTGGTTTCATGCTACAATGGTAGAGTTCTGAAGCTGTGATAATGATGAGATTACCACAAACCCTAAAATATTTGGACAATACAGAAAAAAATACCAACCCTCGACCTAAATGAATAACCAAAAATGGATCTATGTCAAATACATTGTTTTGAAAGTTACAGAACTTAAAACTATAATCCCAGTTCACAACAAAAGGACAAATACATAAGTTAATTATACACAATGTGAATTGGGTATTTTAGGAATAATTTTCCAAACATCATGAAGTCATAAAAAACACATTGTGATTTTCTTGTTCTGCCTTAAATATATATATATATATTATATATATATGCCTTAAATATATATATATATATATATATATATATTCTAGAGTTAAACTGTTATATTTCAAAGTAACACATTTAAAAAACAATAACTATTTCTTCCTCAATTTACCTTTGAAACTAACATGAAGACATGCTAATATAAAGAAATGCTAACATAAAATGGTTCTTTAAACTAGTTCTGAATTACTTGTTCCCTAAGCAACATAAATAGAAGGCAGGATATTTCATTCGTGTTGAAATGTTTGCTTTTAATTTTCCTACTCAGTGCTTTTCTTTTTTAATGCCTACATGCAAACTGTTTGGTTAATGAAGAAAAACATCTGAACTCTTTTGATGATGTTTATTTGGTATAAATCACACACTCAGAACCAAAATTAACTTACCATCATTTTGAGTGCATATTGGTTACAGCTTAGCAACAGCCTTTTCAGGATGTTGACATGGTATACAGAAGATGGACTGTTCAGTGCAATGATTTTATTTTATCAATAAAAGTGAGACTTTTAAATGCCTTTATTATAATTTCACTGCTTGATATTGACTATCAATTTGTATCACATTATGCAATATCAATTTCAGAAACATCCGGAGCCTCACACACCTATTAGTATCTCAGAGCCAACTAGTCACGAACAGAGGAAGTAATACAATCGCTTTTGTTAATGTTCTCATGCGACAGGCAGAGGCAGTCAATATTAGACCTGGTAAAACGCATCTAGCTCTAGGTGAAATCTGAGGGGAGATGCAGCAACAAGAAAGCAGCACCGACTGAGCATGCTCCTATTCAGGCAGAGACAGAAAGGGAGTGGACGTACTGTAGAAGCTGGCCATTACGTAGTTTTGGCAGCGATCACCAGTAAACTCATTTGGGCACCTGAGAGAAGAAACAAAAAACAATGGTAGAAAAAAACAGAGAAAAAGAGAAGAGGTGAATATATGCTAGAAAGAAGCTCCTTCAGTGTCATTTGACTGAACTTGGTGAGTTCACCCTCAGGAACTGAATCTTCGTCCTAATCATGGCTTTCAGACTCCGGCATTTCCCCTAAATGGTTAAAATTTTGAACAAAATGTAGTTCTCAAGTTCAAGTTCCTATGACGAAAAGATCTCAGCATTTTAAGTGACTTCTTTCTTTCAAAGGGAGCCACTTAAAATTAAAATCTAATGTTTGATTCATCTCAGTTTTTTTTTTTTATTTGATAGCTTTAGACAAAGATGTTGGGAGGAAATATTTTTTTTTTCCCATTGGCTTGCTGTCATTGATTGCCAACGTCACAGACCATCCCAACTGACCACTGTTTTACATTTATGACTTTGAGACTTATGTGGAGAGAGAGAGCTAAATATCATAGTGAGTGGGTTTATGCCTTGAGTGGACAAACCATAATGAGAACAAAAGGAGTCAGTTACAACTGAGCTGTAAAAGCACCAAGTGGTAGTGATTGTTGCTGTAGTTTGGGGGAGAAAGCAAATTTCAGATTATTTTAACATACTTTCTTGGTTTTGGACTTTCATGGGCACATTCTCAGTACATCTTGCTCCAGTGAATCCAGGTTGGCACCTAGAGGGCAAAAATGTGATAAGCAATAGAATGCTAAAGACACTGAACTTTCAGACTGGCAATTTTCCTCCTACGGAATATGGAGACTCCTAAAAACAACCTGGTACTGAACAACATAAAGAAAAGAAACAGCACAACACTGAGAAGACCACGCCTCATGAAAACTGTGGGTCACCAATTTTGGTGGCTTGCTGCATTCTTCCAAAGATCAGTTAACTGAAATTTAACTCGTTTAAGCTGAACAGGGTGGCAAGGAGGGACACGTCTCTTTTTCCTTCTTAATGTGAGCACTGATTCTTTTCATGTTAAAGCACTGGCTTTGGTAACTGCTTCCTTCATGGCTCTGCCCATGGTTTTTCTTATCAAGGGATCTTGAGCTTTTTATGCTGTGCACAAGCAGTTTTCCCATTATTTTATAGCTGTTTTCTAAATTGTAACATAAATGGTTACACAATAGGTGTTGAACAATTTTAGAGTCTACTTGATTCCTGATAAGAAAAACTTGCCAGTAATCACGGTTTATAGAAAATATTACAAATTAATCTCATTTTTATTGTTACAAGACAGATAGCAGGAGATTTTTATTACTAAAAACTTCACTTAATTGTCCCAAATGAAAGATACACCTTAAAATTTAGAAGTTTTTTTTTCCTACAAAAGTATTTAATAGATATTCTTCTTGCATTTAAGGTAAAACTATTTTGAAATTATATAAAATTTATATTTTATTCCACTAATACATTTACCTATCAAATTTCTAGGATCTTGAAATTAAACTGTTCTTAAGGCCATGCAATGGAGCTAGATTTAGATATGAGAGTCCTTTTTATTTATTCTGTTTGTGACTATTATTTTAGTATCTAAAGGATTTTAAATTGTATGCACTTTACTCAATATCATGCTCTGGTAAATAAGCTGATTGAAGGATTCTATGAAGCAAATATACAACTTACTGGTGGAAACAATCTTTATTTAAATGTTCAACACCCATAGTTATAATTTTTAATCATTCATCATAACCATCATTGCAAAGCACCTAATATAATTTAACTCTGAAAGCACATACCTAGTGATTTTTTTAAATACAATCTCATCTTTTCCAGAGTAAATAAGAATAAACACTATCATCTTGGCCTCAAAGAGATGTGAATAAAACTATTTAGTTTTACTAATACAGGTGTAATTTACTTTCCTATCAAGCCAAACTCAATACTAAGAAAGTTACTACATAATTTGGTACATGTAAATATCAACTATCAGTGCCAGATTTTTTGCCCCATGAGAACTTGTGTGGTATAATTATGAAAACTAACAATAATATTGGTAAGAGTAAACAACAAACATTTTATATTGGTAGAACCCCTTTGAACTCTTTAAAACACTTATATATAAGTGAACTGATTATTCTCACTTAGAATAATTTTGCTGCAGAAAATAGAGACTGAGCTACTTAGAGAACTATATGAATAAGAACTACCACCTGTGAGGTAGGGTTATTTCTCATAAAGATGTCATCTTCCAAGCTTTAATAAGAATGTCTACACAGATATATAAGAAAAATACATGGAAAATTTTCCATATAACTTATTTGACAAATAATTTCTAGAGAAAATAGGGTTGTTTTGTTTGTGAACCAAGGTTATAAATCCATATAGATATACTCTATACCTCAGTAGGCAATTCCATAATTAAGGATCCAATCTATAATAACCATTTCATCTTACCTGATTTCATTCTTCATAAAAATTTAAATTCTCATAATGAGCACACAATAATCTACTTGTTTTCTGTAAATAACATGGTGTTAAATATATGAATACTCTGTGTGTATGCATGTGTATGAGAGACAGAAAGACCAAGATAGAGACAGGAAGAGAGAGAGAGATTATACTCATGTGGGGTGAGAAATATCCTTATTTAGCTGGGTGTAGTGGCACAGGACTGTAATTCCAGCTACAAAGGAGTCTGAGGCAGGAAGATCCCACATTCAAGGTCACCCTTGGCAATTTAGTGAGACACTGTCACCAAAAAAAGAAAAAAAATAAATAAATCAGGGGTCTGGGTGTAGCCCAATGTTAGAGTGTTTGCCTAGCATGTATAAGGTCTTAAGCTCAATCCCCAGAAAGAAAAGAAAAAAGAAAAGAGAAAGAGAAAGGAAAAAAGAAGGAAAGGAAAAGAAAGATCCTTGTTAAAGGATCATGAAATGAACAAATAGCCAAGGAATCATAAGTTCTTTAACAGAAGGAATACATTTACTAGGAAATCGTCACTTAGGCATCTTATATGATTAGAGAACATTCAGCACTACATAAATGGGTCAAAAATCTTACCCATCAATTCTCTGATTGTTATGAACGTATAACATGTTTGCTAGGAAATAAGCATCGTGGGCAGGCAGTTGACCGACCCCAGTATAAGATCCTACAGATTATTTGATATAATAACTCTAGAGCAACTTGAGGTATCAAAATTATATTTTGAATTATCATCTATATGTGAAACAGAACAATCCTTTTGCTCATGTTTATCTTCACTTAAAGGATGAATTTGTAAAATTATTTCCTAGTGTTAGAAAGCCCTACAATTATTCAAAGTGTGGTCCATGAATAAATAGCATTAGCATCTCCTAGTAACTTGTTATTAGAAATGTAGAAACTCAGGTCGCAATCCAGAATTACCAGGGAGGACCCTTCATTTTATCAACATTCCCAAGAGATCTGTAGCTATATTAAAATTTAAGTTGTAAGGGACTCTAAATTAGAAAGATGGAAGCTAAGACCTCTATCCTGGCACCACAGTATCTTGCTGTTGGATATTTGGCTTTATTGGGCCTTATTTTCTCAGTGATAAAATGAAGGGATTTAACTAAATGGTTATCAAAAATCTCTTTTACCATGGAGGTTCTGGGAATTGATGCTCATCTTAATAGAATCTCTGTTAGAAATCTCTGACATCATTTCCTCTCAGTGCATTACCAGTTAGGGACAAGAGAACTCAAGAACTTCTAAAAACCATTTTTGTGAGCTGGGGACATAGCTCAGTGGTAGAGTGCTTGCCTAGCATCTACAAGCCCCACCTCCCCACAAAAAAAAATAGTTGTATTTTTATAAAATGGACTTTGAAGACAATCTCAGAGGTAAAAGTAATTGCAAATACCCTGGCAATTCAAGTGGCCAGCAAGAGAAGTCATCATGGAACTTCTGTAACTGACATTCAGAGTTACAGCCAAATCAGCTGGAAGGAAGTGGAAACTGGGATAGTCTGCCTAAGCCAACTGCACTGACTGCACGGAAAGCATATGCAAATGAAAACTCATCTGATCTACAGCTTGGATGAAATTCTACAGAATTATTTCTAAAAGGACAGGGAGACTGCCTGGCTTCTGCTGTATTTCTATTAGTGTTCTATGTTAAGCATCCAATCTATCACTTTCCTGGAAGTTATGAACATGGTAAATTTAATCTGAGTTTGAAAAATATACTTTGGCATAAGTCTCAGCAAATCTCAAGGATTTTATTTTGTAGAATCTGAAGATCTGAGTAAGAATCAAATACCTGCTTTAACTTCAGAAATATCTATCATTTGTTTCATTCATCAGATTTGAAGATGGAAATCTTTTTTAAATTTTAATATTTGCTTTAAATAATCTTTGTCCTACATTTGTTTTTAATGGAATGAAGATTTAGTTTTGTGTAAACTCATAGGAACCTCTTCCAAGTAACCATCCCCACTTTTACCTCTCCTCTCCGCACTTCCACATTCTGAGTGAAGTTTCCTTGTGTAGGGCTCATACTGCACCCTGACCTGGACTCCTTACACTGCACTTACCTGTGTTGTGCGTATCTGTTTGGGGAATCAGTGATCACATTTTGACCATTCCATACCTCTAAGGCCTACCTCAATGCCTGGCTCACCAGGAGCTCTCACAAGATGTTTGTTCAACTGAGCCTAAGATCAGAATACAATTTCCAATAGAGACCTATACAAAAAGAAACTTATAAGGAAACAGATTTGCCAAGTACAGGTCTATCTTGAACATCTCTCTTATTTTTATAATTTATGATGGACGGCCCTCTGTGGACTCCCCCCAAAGTTTTTAAATAGCAAGGTTCGAATGCCTACAGATTTTCTCCCCAAAGTAAAACCTTTTAACTTTGTGTTTGTAAATTTGGAAAGAATACATGGTTCTTTTAAGAGCAAGTTTATCATCTAAATTTAAATCTTGCTACTGAAACACAAGTTTACCTTAGATTTGATAAAGTAGTACAGTTTACTAACTTAAAGACTTCTGCTCGACACTAGTAAAATAAAAACT